GGACGGTGCCTGCCGACATTTCCCTCCTGTGAGCTCCTGGGCCTTTCAGCGCCGGGGTTGGGACTCACCGGGGCTCGCAGGGCACCTCTGTCATCCTGCGTCATTTTTGAGTCTCTTCCAGCTCAGCACTATCCTCCCCTCCCTCGTCCTCCCCTCCCTCGTCCTCCCCTCCCTCGTCCTCCCCTCCCTCCTTCCCCAGCAGCACCGAATTCTTCTGGGCTGGGAATTTCCCGTGGTGAGCCTGGAGCTGGAGGTGGGATTCTAGAGTAAACCCGAGCGATTTTCCTGCTGGAGGTGGGATTCTAGAGTAAACCTGAGTGATTTTCCTGCTGGAGGTGGGATTCTAGAGTAAACCCGAGTGATTTTCCTGCTGGAGGTGGGATTCTAGAGTAAACCCGAGTGATTTTCCTGCTAGGGATGGGATTCTAGAGTAAACCTGAGCGATTTTCTTGCTGATGGTGGGATTCTAGAGTAAACCCGAGCGATTTTCCTGCTGGGGATGGGATTGCAGGGTAAACCTGAGCAGTTTTCCTGCTGGAGGTGGGATTCCAAGGCAAACCCAAGCGATTTTCCTGCTGGAGGTGGGATTCTAGAGTAAACCCGAGCGATTTTCCTGCTGGAGGTGAGATTCTAGAGTAAACCTGAGTGATTTTCCTGCTGGAGGTGTGATTCCAGGATAAACCCGAGTGATTTTCCTGCTGGGGATGGGATTCTAGAGTAAACCCGAGTGATTTTCCTGCTGGAGGTGGGATTCCAGGATAAACCCGAGTGATTTTCCTGCTGGGGATGGGATTCCAGAGTAAACCCGAGTGATTTTCCTGCTGGAGGTGGGATTCCACGGCAAACCCCAGCGATGCTCCTGCCTTGTGTTAGAGGTGTGCAAAGATGAAACCAGCCCAGCTTTGGCTGCCAGGGCCAGGCCTGCTGTTCCCATAACACGGCACTTTCACATGTGGCTTTTCTCCTGAGCACATGCTGGGACTTGACAGTCTCGCCGAGACTCGGGCTGGGAAATGATTCCAGCCTCTGTGGAGGGCTGGGTGTCTCTGAAATACCCACTCTGAGGGTACAGGAGGTATTTGAAAGGTGTTTTGCACGTTGAGAGGGAATTTTATCCGCTGCTGATTGTTTTTTTGTGGACGTGGAGAGGCTGAGCCAGGGGCTGTGTGTGGGGGCTGCTCCTGTGAGCTCGGGATGGGGATATTTGGGCAGAAAGTTGGTGGAAGGATGGAGGAATGCTGGAGGGATGCTCAGAGCTGTGTTTGGAGGTGGCTGAGCGTGGCTCAGGTGCTGTGCCAGCCCGTGGTGCTCTCCTGGCTCTCCTGTCCTGATTTTGAGGGAATGCTCTGCGGTGTGAGTGTTATGAGCAGCCCTCGGTGCTTTCCTCATTCCAGGCTCCCTTGGAGGGCCGAGCCCCTTTCCAGCATCACAGGGTTAAGCCAGGCCTGGGGATGAGCGTGACACCCAGCTCTGAGCCCAGCAGGGCTGGGGGAGGCTGGCAGCTCCCTGGTCTCATGGCTGGAATTCCACCTATAGAGAAATCTGGGCACTGTGCTCACCCCACAGAGGGTTTATTTTGAATCAAATCTTTCAGCTCTGAGATCTTGGTGTCACTCGAGCCATGAAGTTCYTGGAGCCCCTTTCTACCTTTGATCAACCTTACATTCTGCATCTCAGCAATCTGGGGAAATCAGCTGCTTTTGGAGAGCACTGTGGAGCTCCCCTTCCACTGCTGGAAACCCCATCCCAGTCCCCGCTTGGGAAACCACATCATTCTGCACACTCCTGGAAGGAAGAGCAGTCTCTGTTTGGTCTTTGAGATATTTTAATGCAGAAAGCATGTCTTTAAATCATAGCTCAGAGGGCCTGAGCTCGTGTGGCACACACTGTTTCGCTGTCTGCATTCCAAGGAAACACCCAAAACTTCCAGTATGCTTCTCATTACCGGCCTCAAGTGTCAAATTCACGTCGGCTCTTCCAGCTGGGAAGTGTTCAATGGGATCGTTTGTTTGATGTGCTGATACCSATCTTGTTACTACACGGGGATCGTAGGTGATCTGTCAATGTTTACATCAYGTCATGTTCAATAACTGATTCCGAAACCCGAGCCAGCGTTAAAACCCTCGCTCTGCTGACGAGCAGCGCCCAAGGTCAGGAGCTGCCACCATTTGATGGCTCTGAGCTCTGCTGCTCCCATAAATATTGACCTGCAAGCTGCAAACGCACAATCTCCGAGCCCGGCAGCGGCTTTTGCGCCCCAAAATTCACAGGTTGGGGTGGTTGAGACTTTTCAGACAGATTTCTTGGGATGAAGGTTGGGGCTGTTTGAAGTTGGGTGCAAATCCGCCCACTGGCTTCGTGAGGCTTTGAGTCAGGGCTTGGTTTAAGGTAGAAACCACCTTCCTGTTCTCTAAGGTATGAGCCATTGTTCRCTGGTTTCCTCTCCGTGACAGCTGTGGGCAGATGGGGAAGGGCTTTTAATGAAGCCAACCGCTGCAGAAATTAAAAAGCTCAGGTTGTTCTGATGAAAGAAACCCATTAACAGCGATTCTCTCTTGCGTGACAAAGTCTGACGTCCCCGGCCATAAGTGACAAGCGGCAGGAAGTTCYGGGGAGACAGCTTGAGCTAAAGAGGGCTGGCAGGCCAAGTTGGTGGTTTTAACTCRTTCTCTGCCTTGTTTCACACGGTTTGGGGCTGTCAGGTCCCACATGTGGGGACAGAGTGGGACACAGACCACAGAAAGTCCAAGGAGAGCTGGGAAGAGCCCTGATCCCACCACCCCCGAGTTGGCCTTGACTTCCATTGGCATCAAATTTCCCACTTTCTTTTCATCAGGAGAGTTTCAGGGTTTTGGGGTTTTTGCTGGTAATTGCTGGGTGTCCCCACAAAACCAGCCCCTTCTAGAGGGTGTAAATAAATACAGCACCACTGTTTGCTGGAGGCTGACAGAGCCCWCGGTCAGGCAGGGCAGGGACCGGAGCAGCCCTGGTTCAGCCTCAGCCGAGCTGCAYGGCTGAATAATCTTTAAAAACATTATCAGCACAGAGATCACTTGATAGATTTTTTTTTTCAGGATTTTCCCCGTCACATGCCAGATGCCACCGCAGGATAGGGTTTGTGCTGAGATAGAGGAAGGGAATTTAATTTCCATTCGATTTCTGGGGAACTTGGTCTTTGAAGTTGTTCTGGCTTTTCTTCTAAGCTCTGACCAAAAAAACTGGTTAAAAGTGAAATATAACTCTATATTTCTTCTTCTGTGCTTGAAGGGACAGTGAAATAATAAAATGTGGACTGAAACAAGACGGCGCACAGGCTTTTCCCCAGGGAAAAGCACCAYGTGACGGGTGCTGCTCCTGGCTCCAAAGGCCTCGGATAATGCAGAGGTGCCTGAGGTCTGGGGACACACAGAGATGAGAAGAGATCGTTTATGGTGTTGCTTTGAGGTTTCCTTGGTTTACTCCACACAGCAGGGAAAATGCATTTTCAAAACACYGCTGGTTTTTGCTTTCTGCCGAGCTCATCCTCACCGAGTTTTCCACTCTGGTGCCAGCCCCTTTTCCATCGGTTTGGACTCTCACATCAATGGGGATTCCAGAGCTTGGAGGGGATGGTGGGGCTCACCTGGGTGTGGAGATGGCACAGGGAGGTCAGAGMTCCTCAGGAACTGGGGAGGATTTACTGGTGGGACACCCCTGGAGCCCAGCTGGGAGTGTGAGATTCCCTCTGGAGTGGATGCTTTTCCCTTCCATCCCAGCCCCTGTCTGCTCAGAGAGCCTGGCAAGCCCAGCCTGAGTGGAGATCAGGAGATATCAGACATCGGTTTAAAGAGGGGGAAGTCTGGGGACTTTCTGTGACTTTGCTCTAAACGGCCACGGCGCTCCCAGAGCTSTGCAGATGTGAGGGGGAAGGGCAGGGGGGTGCGATTATCGCCTTTTAAAGGCGCTGCTTTTCTTCTGAAAAGTCACCAGGAGCTGAGCTTGGCTCGGTGGCTGCTGGGCTGTAGGGTCTGGTTAGGCCCAGCTCTCTCAGGTGCTGCAGAAGGGTTTCTTCGCATCCCCTCTCCAATCTCTCAGGTGCCAGAGCCCGGGATTGTGCCGGGGTCAGGTCGGTGCCACCCTGGATGGTCCCTCYGTGGCAGGTGAAAACACCTGAGGGTTTTGTAGGGCACTCTCTGCAGCAGGGAAGGCACAAGGAGATCCCAAGGGCTGAACCCCAGCTCCTCTGGAGCCCCTCCAGCTCTGTGCGGGTGGAACTGAGACTGGAACCRGGCCCAGGGAGAGCGAAGCCGTTTGGCGATGATTAATGCAGTAAAATGTGAAAGTTATGTATCAAGTGCATTTCATGCGCCTCTCGCCTCGGGACAATTAGCATAAATTTAATAATTATTGGCCTGTGCCAGCAGCTGCTACCTAAGGAGCTGGGAGTGCTTTACAAACGCTCATTAGCGGCTGCCCCGCCTGGGGGAGGTGGGTGATTAGTCTGCCCGGTTTATGGGTGGAAAGAGGAACAGAGAGAAGCAAAGTGAGGTGGCCAAGGTGTGGTAGCAGCGAGGGCTGATCCCATCCCTCCTGGGTCTCCTCCAGCCCCACTTGGCTCTGACCCCGCTGGATGGGCAGGGCTGGGAGGTGGCTGGAGCAAGATGAGAGTTTGTTCTTCATGCAATGAGAAAATGCTGTAGAAAATGCTTAAAATTCAATGTTTCTTTTGCTGGTTCCCACTCCCCACTTTGGCAGGCCATGGGTCTGTCCTACCTTGGCTCCACTCCGTGTTCAGTCAGCGAGGGCTGGTGCAGGTTGGTCACTCAGGCAGGRCCATCCTGGTCCAGGCTCCTTGACTGGACACTCCACTGGTGAGCTGTGGTGTCCCCAAGGGTCACTCTGTGTCCAYCTCTGCCAGGGCTGCACCCATTGTCCCCTGTGAGTAACACAAACCGCAGGCACAGAGGCTCTGCCGGCTCCGTCAGTAACCAGGCTGCTGCAGCCAAAGGGGAGCTGATCAGATATCAGACTCTTTTATCATGTTCCAGGGCACAGACAAAAGCTGGAAGACCAAGCCAAGCCCTTCACCGACCGCTACGGAGAGCTGGAACGGCTGCGCCAGTCCATGAGAGTGACCCCGAGCACACCCAACCCCCGCGGATCCCTCAGCACCCCGAGCCATTTCGGCTCCCAGGCTCAAACTCCGATCCAAGGTGGGTGTCCCAGAGTCACCCCCTAAACCCCCGTGCTCCTGGCATGGCTGAGTGGGAACAGGCTTCCCTCTGGATGGGATTTTAGAGCTGGACTCTGGTTAGGGAGCCTGGAAGATGAGCCAGGGAGGGTTTGTGTGGATTTCTTGCCCTTGGAAGCCTTTTTGCCCCTGTGAAGTCACTCTTTGTACCATTAGAGCTGGTTTTAGAGGGAAAAGCGAGCAGCAGGAATGGAGGGCGATCAGAGCAGCATATTTTGAAGCCGTGGAGGCAGCCATGCTGGGGCTGAGCACCTCAGGGAGGGCGGCTCACGCTTCCCATGCTGATCCCAACGCTCCTGATCACCTTTGGGTGTCAAGCCAAGAGTGAGGATTGCTCACCCAGCTCCAGCACAACTCCCCACGGATGCACACTGCACACACACAAAAACACACACAGACACAAACACACACACACACAGCCTCTGCTCTCCCCTGAGCTGCCAAAGGCAAAGCACACCCCGAGTCCCTGGGCGTTCCCCGGGAATCTGCGCTGCAGCTCGCTGCCAGGCCGGGGGAAAGCAGGAGGAATTACCCCCGAGTTACCTGGGAGAGATCAGCCTGCTAATGCTGGAATTACAGTCCCAAACTGAGTATTGTGTTTGGAAATATCTCAGCTGCTGCACTGCTCCCATCTCTGCACAGGCAGATGGCACCAGGATGAATTAAGAGRCCGTTCTCCTGTCCTTTTCTATGCTCTTTTCCCATGCACTTTKGGTCTCACTGTTTCTTTTCCTTCAGAAATCAGCAGAGATACTATCAGGGCTCTAAGCAACAGCATTTAAGTTGTCTGTATTTGGAGTTTTGGTGAGAAATGGCCCTTCTGGGAAGGTTTCGTAGAAAAAGCTCCCAAAGCCTTTGTGTTGCGTTTTCAGAAGYGCCGTGGTTGTTGGAAAGGCTCGGTGTCATTGGCAGACAGGGGGTTTTGGGTGCAAAAACATGTTGGAAAATGTTACCCGAACCGTAAAAGCTGTGCTGCTCCTCCCAACCCAAAATTACMGTGAAAATTTAATTTATTTCTCATTGAAATGCAAATCTCCATGCTTGGAATTTTCATTGATATTAGCTCGGTTTATGAGAAGAACACGGGTATTCTGTGTAGGATTATCATTTGATTTTGTTTTTAAAAAAAGCAAGAGAGAGAGAAAGAGTTTTTAGGCTTGTCCCACTGGCTGCATCATAAAGAACGAGATTCTTGGGGGAAGAAAAAAAAGATTTGTATTTTAAATTAGCACAGCCCCCTGCAGTGCCAGAAACCCAAAGAGCGTCGTTTGGAGCRAAGAATCAGGTGATGACACAAATTCAACGAGGAAAAAAAATGAAGTTGGCCACGAGCTACCACCCCTGCCAAATTCCCAAATGTCAAGCGACAGCAGGAGTGGAGACACACAAAATTAGCCCTGTGCAATCATTCCTGCGGAGTGAATCCGAAGTGGCAGGAATGCTGCAGAAGGCGCTTTGTGCACGCTCTGCTCTTGGCTGGAGGAACGGTCTCAAAAACGACYGTGGGCTCCTAAACTCAGAGCAAGAGCAGCCCAGTCATTTTCATCTCAGCCCTGTCCTTTTGACACAGCTCTGGCTATAACCAATATAACCATAATTCCAAACCCCCTCTTTCTCTCTCTCTCACACACACACACGCCTTATTCACAAAGATCATAATTTTYAGCCGAGCAAGTGGAGCCCGGCCGGTGCCAAGAATAACACAGGAGTTAACAGGCCTGTAATTCTCACGACTTGGCACGTTCTTGGGTAACACACAGGAGAGGCCGAGGAGTGGAAAGCAGAAGGAGATAGCAATTGGGAGGGGTGATGGGGGCTCTGTCTGGCCCCGATATCTTTTATAGGGGCGCTGCCCAAGGTTAATATTTTCAGCATCCCTGTGCAGGGATTAAGAAAGGGCCAGGGAGGTTTTCCCTTTGCTCGTGTGCTYGGCCTCCCTGTTGTGCTGACCAAGCAGTTGGCACAAACTTCCTAATCTGCTCCTGGCAAAACCAGGCTGGGAGCTGGGAYGGTCAGAAACARCCTCAGCCACTACGGGGSAAACCCAGCACCCCAAATTCCTGTRCACAGYACGAGGAKTTTSGGGTTTTAKGCAGACAGGATGTAGGACAMAGTGTTTTTCTCTGGGACAATTGGGGTTCTGGGGAGATATGTTTACCCTGGCCCAGTTCAGGAGTGAAAGGAGTGAAAGCTGTGGCCGCAGTGGGGATCATGGCAAGGACGCTGCCGGGAGTGGGAGAAGGGTCTGGCCCTCAGCCACTCGCAGAGGCTTTCAGTGAAGCAGCCCCTGGAGGTTATAAATAGCCCCGGTGTAAAATGATCATCCTGAGGTGAAATGGTCTCAAACCAAAACCCTCCCGGTAAGAGAAAGCCGTGGTTTCTGAAGGGCATGCCAGGAAATCTGGGAGGAGAGAGCRCAGCTCTGAGGCTGAGCAGGTCAGATCCTGCTGTCCCACTGATTCCCCGTGTTCACTCACAGGGTATTTCAGTGGCTTTGGCTTTGTCTTACCCATTCTGAGGAGCAGAGAATCCATYCCTTCCCATGCCTGTCCCCAGCTGGGATGGCCACTGGCACTTGCACTGCTTTGGGGAGTTCATAGGGTGATTCTGGGGAGTTAATAGGGTAACTCTGGGGAGTTCATAGGGTAACTCTGGGCTCACCCCGCTGTAGTTGTGATGAGAATCTGGGGCAGGTCAGCCAGGCAGACCCTCATCCTCCCCAGCACTGCTTCCCTGGCTTCAGCTGAGCAGAAAGATTTGGCCCAGTGCTGCTCCAGAGAGGTCTGGAAAATGTGAGTTTTTGCAATTGCAGCTCTGCCATCCCCGCAGCGAGACACCAAGCTGTCATTAGGATGCCTTGAAATGGTTCCTTATTACGGGGCACGCGAAGCCAGAGCCTTGCKTGCCTGCTTCGGTCAACTTTGGCTTTTAGCTTAAAAAATTCAAGTAGCTCTCTGCAGTGAAGCAAGATGGGAAAGGGACTTGCTCCTGTCTGCCTTGTGCTGCTCCCYCCTGTCACTGGGGCAGTGACAGCCACACGTCCTCCCCAGGAGCAGCCCCAGCTCTCCGTGCTCTGCYTTGCCCACATTTCAGCAGGGGCTCAGGCTGAGCCGTTCTGTTCCCAGCTCAGCAGAGCAGGACCGCCCACGCAGCCAGGCCTGAGCTGGGGTTCTGTGCTGGAAACATCTTCAACCACTCAAAAGCAATTGTGGGCATTGTCCAGCAGCGTGGAGGGGGCTCGTGTTCACCAGGACAATCACAAAGGGATTTTACATTGGATCCCCTGGGTACCAGAGAGAGCTGTTTTGATTAATGCACTTTGTGTCCCCGTGCACACTCTTCCTTTTGCTGCAGAGAAGCCAAAGTCCCTCGATTTCTCAGAGAGGACAGTAAAAGCTGCATCTTTTTGCCTCTCCTAGCCCTGGAGAATGGTTTTTRGGAGACACTGTGTTCAATGGTGAAGAGCTTCAGATCTCCCTATCTGGAAACTGCTCRGCTTTAACCAGCTTCGTTCCCAGTCCATTACTTCAGGCCAGCACATTTTTATCATCAGCACAATGCTTCACCMTATTCATTTAAAGCAAACTCTTTCTCTCTCTTTTTCTTTTTAAATATACATTTTTAAAGTATTACGTTACTTTTAAGAAGCCTCTTGGCACAGGCAGCAAGTGCCCCTATTGTTTCCGAAATGCAACGTGGCTGCTCTGAGGTTAAGTCCTGAATTATGGGCCCAGCAAATACACTGAATTGCTGCTTCCTAATCCCTGTCCAGATTGACTTATGGTTTCTTTAAAATATCCGTTTCTTAATGGATAAAAACATTCTACCACGGGCAGAGACTAAATTGTTTCCAAAGGAAGCTAGGCAAGCATTAGTGGGAAGAAAACATATTGTGGGATTCAGCTTCAGCCTCAAAGGAAGGAACACGCTCGAGATGGGTTTCCTGCCTGCTTTCAGGCTTCTGTGTCTATCTTTAAACTGCTTTTCTGCTCCTCTCCTTTGCATTTGTGATGTCCCTTCAGTGAGTTTGGCATGGAAGTGTCACAGGGGAACCACAGGAGCTTCCCCCAGGACAGAGTTCGGGCACCCGTGACTGCTGTGGATTCCTCACGGTGCTGCACCCCTACAGAACAGCAAGGACTCCCTTGGAATTTGCCTCAGGAATGGCAGCCTGCCCTTAACACGGGATTTTCCAGGTGCTGGGATCCTCAGTTCCAGACTCAGAGCAGGGTGGGGAGCCCCCAGCCCGGGTCCCGCTGCTTTGCCGGGCTCTGGGCTGCAGGAGCCCCCTCCGCAGTGGGATTCCCATGGCAGAGCCGGCCTGGCCCAAACCTGCTCGGCAGGCAAGGTGGTCTAGCTGCAGGCTGGGTTGTAAATCCAGCAGCTTCCTTTYATGTAGTCAGGGCTTGTTAATTTGTTTTAATACCCTTTGAATAGAGGTAAAGAGCAAAGCTCCTGCGATCAGCCCACCCACCCGCTGCAGTTCGCACCGTTATTCATCAGCTCCGCGGGGCTGCGGGATGGGCCGGGCACGGGATGCGGGCACAGAGCTCAGGGATAAGCCGGGCTGTGCAGGGAGAGGAAACTGAAAAAGCTGGGCTTGTTTAGTCTAGCAAAGGGCAGGCGGCGAGCGGAGCCGATTGCTCTGTGTAAATACATGGAGGGGTAAACACGGCGAGGCAGAGGAGCTCTGGAGGACACTGCTGGCACTGGATAAATCCACACCAAGTGTGGAGCAGGGTTCTCCCCAGAAGGATGGGTTCCAATGGATCTTGGAAGGGTTTGCAGAAGTTGAGATGGGGTGCATGATTCACGGAGCTGGGAATACATGGGATTTTCCCTGCTCTGCTTCTGCCCAGAATATTTGGGGTGGGATTGGAAGCRCTGGGGTGGGTTTGGGGCCGCGTGTGTGTGTGCACGGAGCACACGGTGCTCGAGGAGAATCACAGAACCGAGCAGCAA